ACTTCTAGTTTTTGGACTGGCTTTTATGATCACTTATATATTTGTCACTCCTTTGTCATTATATTTTTTTGTCAACACATTATTGTCCCCCCTTCCTAAGCTTCTTATTGTAATCCATTTTTCATTTAATTTAGTTTTGATCATTTGTTTTTTTATTGTTTGCCAGCAATATTTTGGTCACAGACCTTTATTTCTCCGACACGTTTAGAAAGCATTAACCTGCAGTATCTCCCTATTCCGGTCTGTTGTCAAACAAACTGTGATACCTGGCTAGCCACAACACCACATGGCCAGTGGACTTGATCCTTTAATGTATTTTACCTTGTTGCCTATTTATAACCTCTCAGACCTGCACACCAAGGTAGGAAAACCTGCTGCATGTGCACTTCCCACAGCGCTGTACGGCTCTAATATTTAATTAGAAATGGGTAAAAGTCTCTGAGAGTGATCATTTATTCATGCAGTTTTTGGGGAAGCAAAAATAGCACCAAGCCTCTAGTGATTATATAAAAACAGACCTGAGGCTGAATTAGAGGAAGAACATGAGGGTTGTGGTGTTGTTGAGCGTTTTTTGTTTATACATCAGAGAGACAAACGAGAGCATTTGGAGGAGCAAGTCTCTCGCGTCCGTCCCCCGACTTCCCCTCCTCCCTCTCAGACTGCTTATGATCCCCCCTTCTCCTTTTAACCTTGACCGGTCTCACACCTCCTCCACCGAAATTTGACTGTGGCTGCGGGCGAAGTCTGCATAGCAACACACCGACGGCAAGAGCACACGTTGTGAGGGGAAACAGAGCAAGCGACGAGGATGTGCGGTTACCATGGTGACCGCTCATATTGCATCATCCCTCAGCACAGGGTACCTGGAGAAAGGGAGCTCCCATCACTCTGAACATGTGGTGCTTCCCCGCCAAAACACACTCACTTATTCATGACGAGCCCCACCCAAATCATCATAACAAAGGGCGCAAGGGCTTTTTTTGTCGCCTTTCATTTTAAACGCATGACAAAATTGTGCCTCAGGTTTATTGTTTCAGAACAACACGACATTCCTTCATTGCTTTTTTGTCTATTTCTCTTTATGTGATTGTTTTTAATGCTGTTATTAAGACATTTTATCTGTGTTTTTCTTTACAGGGATGCTGTGTTGAAGTGCTTCACAACCTGTTTGAGTTAGGACTCTTTGATCCACAATTTGTGAAGACTGGTCCTAATATGCAAACTGTAAGAACAGTGGCTCTGTAAAATATACATCTCTACTGTTTATACACTATATCTCTGGATTTTTACTATGGCTTGTTTCAGACTGTGAATCCTCGCTTTTTAAGTCTCGCTGAAGGTCTATAACCATAATCAGATTTCAGTTACCTTTTGCTTTTGATATGAGAGAAATGAGTGCCTTTAATGCTTAATATATTTGAAGATATTCCCATATCTTCTGAGGATTTTATATCATTTAAGTGCAGGGAAATTATTTTGACTTTGTTATGATTTACAACACAAGTGCCTTTACATTATATATTGTATACATATATATGAATATGTTGGAATTGACCAACCATTCATATTTACATCTAACACCCAGTGTGAGATGACTTTTTTTTTCCTTCTGGATTTTTAAACAGTGTTCCGACTTCTTACACACAAACATTATTAAAACACATTGTCCTTTTGTTTTCTGTCTGTGTGTGAGGCACTGATGTATAAAGAGGATCTCAGATGCTACTCCATGTTTATATTTAATATTTTTCCCTTAGGCAATTGAGGCACTGCTTCACTGATGATGCACAGGGATATATGATATCCGCAGCTCTTTTGAGGTTTTTCCAGCTAAAGAGATTAAAAAAAGCAGCTCCTGTCTAGTCTGTTTGTCTCCATGTGTATTTGAACATACCTGCCCCCCCCCCCCCCCCCCCCCCCCCCCCTTTAGCTCATCAAATTAGGTTAAAATTGCTTCTCCCTTTTTAAATTTGATTTCCTGCCAGATGTAGCAATGACCCTGTTAATTACGCTTTTCTGAACATTGTGATTTTGATGTGACCTAATAACCCAGAATAGCTCACATCAAGTTCCCTGTATTGCTTCAACGTGATGGCGTAGCCTTTGAGGATGTGGTTGTCATGACAACCTCCTCCGGAAGATTCATAACCTCTGCCTTCCCCCCATCTGTGGTGCAGATGTTAACATTTTCCTGATGAGGAGGTGGGCTTTTTTATTTTGTAGAATAACTTGCAGTCAGTCATGGATCTCTTCCCAGTTTGTTAAAAAATATATATTTTAAAACAGTTTTATGAATCAGTATCACAAAGAAAGCCCCACCACATCTTGTGCATTAGCTGAAGGATTTGTTCAAGGTTTAACAACATGCCTCCAGGTTGTCTTTCGGCTCGATGCGACTAAATAACAGCTTTCCACTTCCTGTTTTGCAGCCCCCACATAGTTTCATTAGACGCTTGTATAACATGGTGGTGGATTAGTGTGGACAAAATCTCCCCTCAGTACTACTTGTTCAACTAACTTCGCAGAGACCCAGCAAATCCTTGAGCAATTAATCCTAGGGATAAAATAATTCTGTTGAGTGAAGGGAGTGTGGTTGTTTTTGTGATCGGTTTTCCTTGCCCGCTATTTTTGGATTAGGGCGAAGTTTGGGGATGAAGGGGAAGTACCCTGACCCCAGCAATCTGTTAGAGTCTCCCAACTGTTTCCTTTTTATTACATCTAATCCATTGTTATGTCAGAGAGGAGAGGGATCCCACACCACAACCACTGAACTGAAACTGTCCCCTTCATCTTAATGGCCCTACTCAATAAATAAGTTGGCCTGTGTTGTCATTGGTGATTTCCATGCCATTTTTTTATTCTAAAAGTGTGGACTGTTTGATTTTTGGTTTTGTTTGAAAATATTCAGCTACAAAAAAGAATTTTGGTCTCATCATGTAGAACACATATTAAATGTTACACATATTAAATGGTATTTCCTTTCTTTAAATCACTATATTTGTACACTATCACGTGAATTATTTCTCTCCCTTTAATCCCCACTGATGGTTATCACCAGAGCAATAAACGAAATGATTCACAAACTGTAAAATCTCAACATCCTCGGGCAATATCAAATAAACAGTCTAAAAACTACAGATTTGGAAGGAAGTATTGATTTCCTCTTACATCCTACACCGAGGGTAACAAAATCACATTGAATCAATTGTGTGACTGTCTGTGCGAAAGTGCAGATAACAGCAGAAAGGAAGCCAAATCAATATTGTCGACTATTTGCGTATTCCCTCAGAAGTCTTTCATAGGCTACATGGCTGAAAGAACAGCAACAGACCATCTCCATACATCAGTTAATTGATATTTGAGACTTGAAAGGACTGTGCCAAATGACATGTTTTGTTAATTCAAGGACACACTGGGTTATCTTACAACAAGGAACAAACATGTACGGTATAGTGAGGTATATTCACATCTGCAGGATGCAGCTACTGTAACTGAAGAATGTGAGTTCTTTAGTTATTTAGTTTGTTTCTCAACTTGTTATGGTCCATACATGTCTAAAGGATGTGTAAACAGGTCTTACAGCATATAAAAAATAATAAAAAAACAACCTAGCATTTGGTTGTAGTTGTACTTATCCAACTTTAAAGGGACATCATAATCGTGTTTCTTTTTTTAGATACATTTTTAAATGTAAGTAGGCTAAAATTAAGGCTTAATTTATACTTCTGAGTTGAATCGATGCCATATCTAGGGCGTAGGCTCTGCGTAGATGTTTAGCCTATGCCATAGCCTGACATGTACCTCCCCAGAAATGTAACCTCCCCTATTTCACAGATACGAAACAGTAAATTGTTTAGATAGTCAAGCTTCCACAAAAATAGTATTTTAAGTCGTGTGTGATTTATCTTTCAGGGATTTGCACTTTAACCTTGTGAGTTGTAATGGAGCCAAATAATGTACTGTTACCTTTGTTAAATGTTGCTGTTGTCACTAGCTTCATATGACAAGAGGAAAAGTCCACTAGCCACTAGGCTAATTTATACAATGTAAAATGCCATAGACTTGTGCTAATAACATTAGCAAGTTGTATTTGTGGTGAAAATGTGTCCTGATAAAGACAAGTGTTTGTCTGTGAATGCTGCCAGTTATAGTGAAGCTAATTTGTGTACTTGTGTCTATTAAGCCATGTGTGTTTTGGGTGTGTTTTGAGTCAACTAAACTTTACAGCACTTAACAGAAACCTCCGCTTCTGAGTAGTGTTTTGGAGGTGTAACTGTAGAGTGACACAGATAGACCCAACGCACAAGTATAAATGCTCACAAAAGCGTAGGCTATGGCATAGGGTCTGCCGCACAAGTATAAATCCCGCTTAAGACTGTTTCAAGAGGATGTTGAGTATTTATTTATCGTGCTTTATTTTAAAATCAGTGTTTTTCTGACGCTGTTTAGCATGTTGCGTGGGGGCTGCTGACTATGGTGGCCAATCCAAAAATGCAACAGCGTGAATGGCCCTATAAAGCCAATATTTAATTTATCTGTTCTGGGCTACTGTAGAAATATGGCAGCGCAACATGGCGGACTCCATTAACGAGGACCTGCTCTCTCTGTGTAGATATGAACATCTCATTCTGAGGCAACACACTATAATTTTTATTTTCTGGTGTTTAAACACTAAAGAAAACATAATTGTTACATTATATTTCATCTCATGCCAATAGATCCTCCAAAATCCTACACGCTGGACCTTTAAAGTCACAGCTGAACTCTTAAAAATTGGAGAAAGATAGTGGAATTTACACAAATAAGATAAATCCACACGTGAAAACCAATGTAATCATCCAACAACTACATCTCAATTCCTTGGAATATTATAAATATAATTCAGGCTAATTTTCTAATAAACCATTAGCCGAGAGGATGTGCGTTTCCAGTGACTAACACAGCAGAGCGGCGCTGTGAGGAAACATGAGGGGAACGTGAGCTGGATGTCGCTCATTGCTTCAGGAAGTTATTGGGAATTATGAAATGACATCACCACAGTTTTTCCTGGCTTTGTTTGGTGCTCCTCCTGACCACGCCTTCCTGCCGGCTCCATCATAAAGCAGCCAGGCTGTGTGTGTGCACCAGTTGATCTCCGGTCAGTGCGGACAACAGGTGCACTGCAGCCTCCCTCCACCTCGCTGCTGGATAATGCTCGCTGAGCGCCGCTCGTCGCTTTGCGCAGGGCTTCCTCGTCTGCACTTTGGACATTTGCACGTTTTTGTATCCTGATCCTGACCACTTCCAGCCACTAAAATGCCTTTTCCGCCTATCAGCCTCCACCAGCGTATCTCCTCTCCCGGCAGGGAACTATTCGGGAAAAAGAAAGCCAACGGAGTGCCTCCTCACACTGAGCTCACCAGCAAATCCGGCAGAGAGAAAGGAGGGTCCGATAAGGAGAAGACGTCCACTTCTTGGACATCGGCGAATTTACGGAATTTAGGGCGAAAAGCCCAGCAGGACAAGAGTAAAAGCCCCTCTCAGAAGGCAAGTACCGACCAGGAGACGCAGGGAAAGTGCTCCTGGCTGTCGGTACCCAAACCTCAGGACTCATCTGAAGGAGTCAGGCGCTCCAGCTCCATGGACTCCGCCAGACACCTCCAGGGCAAAGAGGACGGGAAGAAGGAGATTCAGTTTACCCTCAGTCTTACCCCTGAAGCCATCCTTGTCATCCAAAAACGAAATCTAGAAAAGCAGATGATGGCAAAGCAACAGAAGTGCTGCGCCTCCGCGGACTTTCGACACAGGCGCGTTTTTCCATCCAAAAAGGCGCACGGGGCGTCCAAAGGCTGCGCTCCTGTCGCCAAAGTGGAAAGCGCCGAGCAGGACATCACCGCCATTGTTAAGATATCTCTTTTGAATGACCAATACAAGTACGACGATGTGGAGTACGAAGAGGAGGATGGAGACGTGGATGAGACTGTTGTGAGGAAATGTAAAGAGTGGCTCAAAGGAGTGGAAAACGCCGCTGCTTTGGGAAAAGTCGACAAACTTTCTGCACTCCCGCACCTTAAAGGCTGCTGACACCTGACTGTTGATATTTTTTTTTTTTTCTTTAGACAGCAGACTGAACAGATGATGGACTCTGAAATGTGTGCACCGATGTTGGCATGCTGCAATGGCATCTTAAATTTGAGTCTTGTAAATTAAATGTTTGCAAATGTGAAGGGAGGAAATCCACTTCACAGAATGTCAGTTTGTTTCCAAGTTATTGCATAAAATAGATGTCATGTCACTTAAAAAATACAATTGTTTAAGAAATTGAAAACAGAAATGTCATTGGAATAAGAGGAAATTTGGCCTCCACAAAAATAAGATTTGAAAGCGTAATTGCAGCCTGTGGCTCAGCCAACAGTGCTTCTTATGGTTCACAGAAACGTTGCTTTGCCTGCTCAATGGTTTGTCAAAGTTTGAACTGAATACCTTAATATTCTCCTTCTTTGCACATGGTTTTTGTTTTCAGTGGGGCGCCTGTGGATTGGCAGAGGGGTTTGCGTAAAGGGACGCGAAAGCCGCTCCTTTGTGTTTGAGAACAATACACTATCAACAACAGCGCTTTCTATACGCCTGCTGCTGAAACCAAACTGGACTGTTGATTTTTCCTCTAATAAGAGGGTTATATCCGTTGTAGGGATTTATCAGCGATGTACAGTATTTAATATTTACTAAATGTTTGTACTGTCAAACGTTTTCTCAGCTGATTTTATGCCAATTGAAGTAAAAAAAATGTTTTTTTTTAAATTATGCAAGTGTGACTGACCCTTTTAAATCTCTCTAAAGCTGATTTGCGTTGTGCCTCTTGATAATTCTGTTACATGATGTTGATTTGCAGCCATTTAGATTTCTTTTACTCTTCTGGCCACTTCCCAGACTGTATTTTAAAGGCCCCTTTTGTTGCCACTGCACCTACCTGAAGCCATTTGGGCATTAGTGTTCTAAGCTTCTTAGATTTCCTGTTAAGCAGGGTTGACCAGTGTACTGTGGGGCCAGTGTGCATGATCCCGTCAGGAAATTACCTCCAGTCTGCTTTACTTTTGTTATATCCAACAAAACAGTGCATGTAGCTACTAGAGATAAACAATGTTGCTACCAAATATCTGGGAGATGATTTCACCCAAAGTGCCAGAGCTATATGACCTGCTGCAAAACTATTCCCAATTTGAACTGAGAGTTTAATCCTGACATTCCCAGACTCGTGTGGTCCCCACTGAGCTACACAGAACCATGTTTTAATTACATAATGAACTTCATGTACTGCTCAGGGAGAAAGAGGGATCCACTGAGAGCTTAATAACAACCCAGCACATGACTGTTTCTAGCAAGATACAATAAACCACACTTAAAGAGAAATTGAGCCATAAAGACATGTTTGGCTTCTTTGTTGGTTCCATTCAGCTGCTGACATTTTATTGTATTGACCATCAAACCAGTCAGGGGAAACTTTGAAGGAGACAGCGATCACATGCCAGCCTTGGACACAAATTAAAGGAATACTTCACACACAAAATGAGCTGTTGTCGATCGGTTAGTCACAGCATGTTACCTTGAATTTGTGGAGAAAATTTGTTTTTCTTGCATGCCTCCATGGAAAACAGTGGACATATTGATAGACTTACTGGGGACTACCCGTAACAACAGCAAAACTATATCAAAAAATCTATTTTACAAACTCTCACACAACTTGCGCAGTATAATATCAGTAGTATTTATCCAGTCGTACGCTCATTAATTCCCAAAAACATGCATTTTAGCTAAAAATAATCCAAATAAGTTTCACTTTCAGTTCAGTTTTAGAGAAAATACACGTTTGTGAAGCAAAACAAAGGAGACTTGGATCATGCTGCACGAATTGTGTGAGTTTTGCTATTGTTAAACACGGTCCCCGATCATTCAATTAATCAATATATTTATTGCTTTCTGTAGAGACATACATTTAGGTAACATGATATGACTAACTGATTTACAAATGCTCCTTTTGTGGGTGAAGTATTCCTTTAAATCTTCATGCAGGCTCACAAATGCATTCAAAATGTGTGTGTTTGTGTGTACAGTGTGAAGGTGCCCCGCAATAAGGTTTAACTCTTCTCCATTGTTCTCTGTAACTTGGTAACCAGAGTTTTACTCACAGAGTGTGGTACACTTTAAAGCCACAAGCTGGATAGAGGAGTTTGAGGCGTTGCAGTGCATCTGAAAAGCCCCCCACACACCCACAGCTGGTAAGTTATCCTTGATAAGTGACTTATATCCTCAGGTAACATTGTCATTTGATATTATTTCTGGAGTTTGATGCCAACAATGTTTTCTCTGAAGGTTAATAGTGGATTTGCAATGACGTCTGGGTTTAAAGACCTTCATCAATCAAGCACTCTGCCTTCTATTTCAGATGCACACTTATTCCCTGTTGGTGTCAGAAAGGTATTTGAAATAACCCATCAGCACTGACTGTTTCATGTTTATATTCTGCTGTCATCCAGTTAAATGACATTTTAAACATAGAGGAATTAATAAGATGTCAAACATGTGTCCTAGTACACGTTTTTATTGTTGTCCAGTACATGACATAACAGATTGTTTGTTTGTTAGTAAACAAACAAGCTGCCAGAATAAAGCATCTTGTCGTGTCACAAAGTGGTTTTGTTGTCGCATGTTGCGGACTGAGATCATGGCTGAGCCAGTACAGTGTGTACCAAGACCCGTTTGGTTCTCCCTGGCTCCTGTGATGATATTATCTACTCGCTTGGTGACTGAATGTTGTGTAATCCTCCTCTATTGTGTCGTTATTTTCAATTGTGGCCTTGTTTATGTGCCTCTCTGTGGTATTCACTGCTGTCTGGGTTAGGCCTGAAGCCGAGCTATTCATGACTGTCCTGGGGGTGAGAGCTGCATTATTATGTCTGAAGTAGCTCAAATACTTGTACTCAATAGGAAAAGTAGAATTTAAAGAAGCAGAAGCTGGCAACAAGTTGAGACGGTCGGCTTGGTTACAAGTGGAAACATTTTGTCCAAAGTCAAGGTCTTTTTCATTTGGAGTTGTTAACTCCTCCCCATGCTGCAGGTCTCTCTTTTCAGCTCTGTCTTTTCATCCTCTGCCTGCCACAAACCATTTCTGTTAACACCTGCAGCACCTAATGTCTCCATTTTCTATTTTTGTCTACAGTGTCTCAGCCTCAGCTCTTCTCTTTTTAGATCAGGTGTAAAAACAAAAAAGAAAAATGGCTGCAGGCTTCTGTCCACCTCACTGCAGTATCACGATCACTGTTCAGCAGAGTGACGTGGTACAGCAGGATGGCTGCATTATCCTCCCCTGATTTATAGTGGCAGGGAGCGCAGATGGATGCTGCCTTCGCCCCGTCACTGACACTTTGCACACAGCGGTGAGAGCAAAAGAACTGCAGGTCCCTTTGCTCTGCCACCACAGTATTACTGTGGCAACGGAACTGATAAATCCTGTGTTTTTCAGCAGCTTTTGTGAGAAAAGACAAAGCAGACACTTCCTGAGCAGACTCAGCCCATAAACTTCAGTAATGTGGTCGTTCAGTGGCGGCCTGTTACGAGCAAGGCATTTCCCAGAGACAGGGTGACCTCAGAGAGAAGACTTAGATCAGAGAGTACGGTCCTCCCATAAAAGCTCAAGCATGTTTTATTCTTCATTTAAGGGTTATAAATGGGAGCATGTACCTCCCATGATTTTCTGTGTAGTAAATCTGCTTTGGCATGCATGCTGATACTCCCATTAGCTTTGCATTCTTTGGCAACATACTCCACATTTTGCATTCCTTTTTCTCTTTATACAATAGACAATATTTGCCTCATGATAGTTGAATTATGTCTGTCAAACCTCCCTCTGCAACATCTGTTGGCTATCAATCATCATCAGGATTAAATAAGGACACTGTTTCCCAATAATATGTTTAAGGCAGATCACAGACTCACAAAATTGTCTTCTAGAGACATGCAGGAAATAAGGTGAGGGCTTTGTAGGAGAGGAGGTGGGCATAATATTCCTCCTGCGTATCTTCTTTTTTCTGTGGCTGGGTATTGCAAGAACACAATGTCAGGCTGTTGTGTGGGAGGTTGCTCTTGGCAGATGAGAGGGATTACCAAAAATGCATTCTATTTTTTTAATCTTGAGGCAAGATGACTGATTCACTCCCACAGCATCTAAATTGGGTTTTTACTGTTGATAGGCAGGGGATGAAGTCAGAGCCGAGCCCCGGAGGAGGAAGGCAATGCATGGCAGCAGTCCAGACATGGACCAAGAGGCCAAGGCCCGGCGTCAGGCTCAGCTCGATCAGGTTGATAAATACTCTACCAATGATGAGACACTTATACATCAGCAGAGAAAGCACAATGATGCAGTGAGAGAACACAGCAGAAAGAAATATCCACTTCTTTTTGATCAGTAATCAATGATTTCATCACCTTCTTCTCTGTAGTCAATACTGAAACACTGCTCTCTGCCTCCAGACTCAGGTAAAGCTTCCCTTTAGCTCACTTCCCCTCAGTTGGTGTCCTTTATTTTCATTTGCTTATCCTCCAGCGCCATCTAGAGGTCTACAGGAACATGCACCGTCTCCGAGATGCTCTCTATCGCCGCTATGCTGCCCTGCTCAGAGACAAGGTCCACTCACAGAGATTACTGCTGCAGCAGAGAGATGAGACAGTCAGGGTAAAGTCAGAGAATTACACCAAGCAGGTAAATCATTAAATAAAAAGTGAGGGCTTTATTTGAGTCATGTGCGCGAAATACAGAGGTCAAAATCTGTCTGACATTCACATGTAATAGTTACAAATAAAAGATAGGCGTTGTCTTTGTGGTGATATTATTTATTACAGATCATATTCTTTATTAAACACATTAAATTCAATACCTTAAGCATTTTTCTGGTTCATTTGTTTTTCAGTCTGCAGAGTGTGATCACATTATTACTCTGTGTTACAACTTGTGGGGGCAAAAATCTGCTCAAGGGCCACGTGTTGATTTGAAATTATACTGCTTGGCCCCAAGGGTTATTAAACAAGCACAATATAAATTAATTAATGTAAAATAATGAAGGTCTCTTTCCAGATTTTGAGCTGTAGTTGATATTGTTCGTCAGTGGTGCAAAGTTGGAACATTCCTAACAAACCTTCAATCCGCTGAAGTACCAAAAACAATCTGACATGAAATTGTTTGGGGGTCTGGGGTTCCTGGGGAGTGGCCTGGTTGGTCCTCTAGTCTTGACTGTATTTTGTTTGTCCTCTCTGACACACACTCCACCAGGATCACCCATTACAGTCATCCAACATCCATGGGCAGAGGAAAAGTTCTGATGTCAGTCCTGGAAGTAAAAACTTCATCATATTAGGAGAGCAAGTATTTTCCCAGAGAGCCTGATTTGGCCCACACACTGCTGTTTGCCTCCCACTGCACCAACACTTTGTCTGTGCTCAAATATACAACCCTGCAAATCAAAGCCTCACTGTTTTGACTGCAACACCTTCACTTTTCTTTTGCTCCTCAAGTGACATGCATATCATTAAAACAATTACAGCTGTGGTTTACAACTTGAACCTGTGACTCTGTGACTCTTGCACAGTAAAGCAGACTAACACTGTTGATGAATGTGACTAGTGAAACAACTCCCGAATGAACCTGCTTCAGTTAAACGTTACCTTGTGGCAGATAAAACAAATTGTTTGCACATGATGTTTGAGCAGTTCAGACAAGTGTTTTTGGTTCATTGTATGGAAGCAAAGAAAGGTCGTAATAATTTGAAACTTATAAACAACAACACACCTGCTGAATAATTAATGTTAAAATTAAAAACCACTGAGTTTATAGTATTCAGATGTTTAATTCTTAAAAAAGTCATTATTGGAATTTACAAGTTTTTTTATATTTTTCTTTAGGTTCACCACTACGTGTCACATTGTTTTCAAATTCTCATTTGACACATTTTATTATATAACAATATAATGACTACAACTTTGGACATTTTAATTTATCCATCTAAATTGGTGAAACTTAAAATCCCATTTGCATTTCCATCAGTGGAAATTTGAAATAAAGAAATGACAAAAATTTAAAATAAACCAAAAATCTAGACGGATGATTTTCAAAGTTAAGAATATGTCAATGCTTTAAATTTAGTGGTATTAAAATATCAACAATAAGGTAATGGTGACGTTTCACAATTATGTATGAAGTTGTTTATAAGACATATATTGTTTGGCCCTTTTTTTGCTTCATACTTTCTTTCACTTCTCATTCCTTTAATGTTTTTTGTTTGTTTGTTCAGGGTTTTTTTTACAAGTTTTATTTCCTGTTCTTTTGTATAATTCTCCTTCTGCGGTAGCTGCTGTGATTGACTTTGATTTTGACTGTGTCGCCTCTTCTCTGGCAGGGTGTGAAAAGAGCAATAAGCTCTAGAGAGCCTGCAGAGGGGGTCTAACATGAGAGAGATCCTGTCTTATCTTCCCCTCCTGTAAAAGCTGAGCTTCTTCAGGAGAATGTAATTGTCCTCTCTAATGACTTGCACTTGGTGGTGATGGGGGGGAGACAAAAAGAGCACAATAAAGGACTATAGGGGCCCTCTAGCAGGAATCCTTTGCTCCAAATTGCTGAGCAAATGAAAGCACCCGTTGTTTCCTCAGCTCAGATCGAGAGGCTCCGTCACAGACACAGAGGTGAGGCAGGACCAAAGCAGGCAGAGGCAAGAACACCTGCTGGGGCCTAATTGGTCCTTGCTGCTGTTAATGGCTTCCTGTGGCTGTGTGTTTACTTCTCATTTGTTCTGTGTACTCTGTTTCCCAGCCCCTGAAACAAGGAAGGCTCACTTTAAATCTCTATTCCCACAACTCTCTGTCTCTGGCTGTCTGTCTGCCTCCCTCTTTTCTTCACTCAGAAACAAAGGAAGTTGGCCTTCGTCAAGCTGCAGCACAATGACTCATACCTGGAGTCCCTCCCTAAAACCAGCTATTACCTGGTAGGTTTTGTCCCAGAACCAAAAAGTATGACACCTGACTTTAATCCGCTCACTCACTGATTTATTTTTCATCCCTCACTGTTTGTTTTTTGTGAGATCTTTGACCTCCAGAGGCAGCTAGCTGAGCACGGACATCTGAAAACCCACCATGACTTGGAGGACTTTTATGGGCACATCACATATAACTGTCCCCCATCACAGCTACAGAAAAGTCTGGAGGATGTCAGGAAAAGGAGTTGAGTTACAGTACAATATATAAAACCACTTTGTAGATGTATTATACAAAATCAGTAGTTGTGATTTTGTTTGTTATAACATTGACAGTGCTGGAAAGCAGACCTGTGATTGATTTGATGACTCAGTACAAGACGTCAGAAAAACACCCCTGCACTGCTGAAGATAGAGGACACGAGGGCCATGGCAGATGGAGACTACCGACATTGTAATAAGTTTGTATTTGGGTATCGACCACTGACTAATTATTCATTTCAAATAGTCTATATCTCTGCTTTCCTTATATAACCTGTAACATTCAGTGCTCGCAACATGTACTCATCCCAACTCACCAAGAGGTAGACAACAAGATTGATCTTATTTGTCCACTGAATAAAGAGCTGAATGGCTGAATTTTTTTCCAGTCAGCCAACGCAGCAGTCAGCTTTGCCCTGGTTCCCTTGTCAGAAAGCCAACAGGATTTTTCCCTTGGATTTTAGATTATGGCAGAAAATATGATCTGTGGCAAACAAATGCTTATTATGCGTATATTTCATTAGACTTTTCAACAAGATAATCTTTTGAAACAAACACGAATTTTAGGATTTTTGAGGTAAAAAGCAGACATTAGGCTAGAAACAAACTACACTACATTCACATGACGTAACGTCACCATTACAACCTGGTGGTAAAGCCATGTTTGGTCTGATGTAGTCTCATTTAGCCACTTGTTATCAACCATCTTCTTAAAGATAAGTAAAAGCTTCAAAATTTTTGAGTGGGGTATTTATTGGTGCATTTTATTTTGTAGAACAAAACCGGAAGGTCTTTTAAGCCTGTGTGAACCGCAGACCATAAAACCCATTCAAAAAAACCATTAGACTTCAAGATGAGGGAACTGGGAGTGCTAAAATGCATCCTGATGGGACTCATTCCTGCAGCAGCAGCAGCAGCAGCACTGTATGGCTGCAGACAGAAGCTGGTTAGCTTAGCTTAGCATTGCCCAAGACTGGGAAAAGCTAGCCTGGCTCTTCCCACAGGTAACATAGTTTGCCCACCAACACCTCTAAAACCCACTAATTAACACGTAATTTTTTGTTTCTTGAACTTAAATCCATTCATAAGTGGAGGTGGAAAAATGAATGTGCTCAACTGTAAGCTAAGCTAACTAGCTTCTTGGTTGTAGCTTAGCCTTACTGTACAGACATGAGAGTGGTGTTGATCTTCCTCATGTAATACTACTCCTTTCGAGTGACACAACATATTAAGTCCTGAGTTTATTTGATTATGTTAGTAGGCAGCAGTATAACATGTGCATCAGACACCAATACCCTTATCAAATGAATTTGAAGATTTAAATACTTTGTATATTTGAGGTCCTACATGTCAGAGGTTTTATGTGTCAAAGATGCAGCTGGCGTTGGGCCGGCGGGGAGATGGTATTCAGCTGTGGACGCCTCTGGTCTAAAACTGTGAGCACTCATGGTCTCTGTTTGCACTGCCTTAAAGAACAAACACTGACTCCGCTGGAGGCTTGTTTGGCAGGGACCCTCCTGGAGGAGAAAGCTGATTACTCACGTAGAAGTGAGATGACCCAACACAATCTGACCCCGCTGTTGTTAAGGCTCACCTCCTCGGACGGCCGCTTTGACTCGGACAAACATTATCCAGGGGAAAATGTCGTAATTATGTCCGCTACAAAAGAAATATAGCAATTGGGCCAGTGGTGTCACTTCATGCCGGCACTGCCAGCAGATGTTGAACTGTTTGGAGAGTTAAAGCTTTATGGGCTTCCAGACAAACAGTGCTCCATTTACCAAAAAGTGTCAGAGATAATCTGAGAGCGTGTTAGAGTTTGAGTTGCATTGTGGTTCCACTCATCACTAGTTATACAAGCATTATCCCTGTTGAGAAACTTTATTGATAGATAGATGTTGCTTACTCTTCAGCTGACACTTAAATTGACACTTCACGCTTCACTTACGCTTCTTTGGCACCTCCCTTTTACTATTTCAGCTTCTTTCAGTAACTGTGTAGATCAACTACAACTTCAAATGTTTCAGTATTTTAACTGTTTCAAGTGTTTCAAATCTTAAATTTCGGCATTTAGTGCACACAAAGTTATTTTAAGTTATTTTAAGTGGTAATGAGTGAAAAGTATTGCCTTGAAAACACTTAAGCTACAAAAAGTAATCTCCAAGGCATGATGTTCAGATCCACTTTACATATTTGCACCTGCTCATATCACCCTCAGAGTCCTTTTCGTTTACATGTTGTGAATGTATAACAGAGCAGTGTCGGCTGCTGTCACCCTTGTTGTTAATTAGGGCTGAACCCTGTTTAGTAGGAGCATGTATGATGTTAGCACGAGGCTGCCACCGTGAAGCAGCACATTGGCTTGGGGACATTAGGAGCTTAGTAAGAAGGCGAGTGAAGGCCTGTGCTGACAAGTCCTTCATCAGTGTGAAATCTCACCACTCCACAGACAAACATGGCGAGACAGCCGCCCCTCCTGCGCCCCCCAACTCGACTGTGAGCCACAGGCACATTCCCCACATCCATAAGAAATACCCAAAATAAAAGCAATTAGAGCTGAAGGCAAAATATGGCAAAGTCTTTGTTTATGTATTTAAGTAATGAGCCAATTCATCCAATCTGTCCCGCTTTGTGGCTATTTATATGTTTATTATTGGCTGCTGTGATTTATTGGACAGTTGAGGCAGTAATTTGCTATCTTTGTGGCCATCTGGTCATGGTCTCTTCAACATGTTGAATTTCACAAGTATGCATTACACGGCTACAAAATTAGATTGACCAGAACATACCATGTCTATTACTATAACTTCATTGAGTGGAAAGTGAACATAAGACAGGGCTGGTCTAATTGCCTCTTATTTCGTAGGATGCTGCTAGGCAACATTTCTTAATGAGATATCAGTGTGCAACAATACTGTACATATATAAGCGCACAGGTCCACATCCTCATTCCTCCAACTGCCTCCTGTGCAGCTCCTGGTGTTTGTATAGATCTGTTACCTGCTGCACTGCCCTGTGAGTAAACGCTGCCTTGCTCAGGAGTCCTCCCTGGAGCCAGTTTGCACCCAGCAGACAAAGTGTGTTGTCACCCGAGTGCGCAGTGTTATTGGGTGTGAGCTGCACCACACTATGGCTGCTCTTGAGAAGTAGCACACCATTAGGAATATATTAACAACCCGACATTTTGTGCGCAGGTCAGACATCACAGCGGCAAGCACGCTGATCAGATAATAAAGATGTTTCAACATAGATTACCTTGATTATTTAAATTAAGTATGTTTTACCATCAGTGGTCTTTTCATCTTCTGTAAAATGAACGAATCTTTTCATGTGTGTGTGTGTGTGTGTGTGTGTGTGTGTGTGTGTGTGTGTGTAGGTTGTTAGAACAAGGGTCTGGTTCTACGGAGAGTTCGGTGGAGTTGATCTTCAGTGGCAACCAGGAAAAGGATGAAATTGAGCAAATGTTTCCCAAGGTTAGTGTTAGAACCACAGAGGCAGGAATCCCACTTAACAACAGCAGTGAGAGACAAACACACCTGGAGCAGTGATCACCAACTGCCTCCTCAAACCAACACACGTAAACCCAGACAGATCAAATACACTCAGCAACGACACATATTACTGAGGGTTTGATTAAACTGTATAGGTTCATTGTCTTTGTGTCAAGCTTAGATTTTATTTCAGTCATTTTCTCTCACCATTTAAAAGTAACAATGTACATGTGACAAACAAAATATTTCAGTGATAGTCTGATATTTTGGGGAATACACTTATTTGCTCTCTTGCCAAGAGTCAGATAGGAAGATTGATACTGCTGTCGATGCATTAAGTATGAAGCTACCACCATCAGCCAGTTAGGTTAGCTTAGCATTAAGACTAGAAGCTGAGGAGAGCTGGTTAAAAAAAACATTCTTACAGCACCTCTTGAATGTTGTTTGTTTAATACAGTTGTAATAAATCAAAGTATTAAAATGCCAATTAATTTTTTTCATGCCTCCCTGCTGGCGATAGCCATGGCTGGAAGCATTATGTTTTTGGGTTGTCCATTGGTGGTCATAGTTAAAAGGTCAAGGTTACTGTGACTTTGTATGTCTCATTCTCGTCAACGAGATATTTCAACACTGTAAGGGAATTTCCTCAAATTTCACACAAACGTCCACTTGCACTGAAGAATAAACTGATTAGAATTTGGTGGTTGAAGGTCAAAGGTCAGTGTGACCTCACAAAACATGTTTTTGGCCATAACTCAAGAATTAATTTGCTAATTATGACAAAACTTTACACAAATGTCTAATAGGACATAATGATGAAGTGATGACATTTTATATCCAAACGGCCAAAGGTCAACTTCACTGTGGCATCATAATATTTTGTATAAATCACTTTTCTGACCATTATTCAACGTCATATCTGACAGGGACAGACAGAAGGGGAGACATTTGGTCAGATACTGAATTGGTGACTCTAATCTTGGGTGCCCTCCTTGAAACTGTGCTGACTATAGATCTCCTGTGCTGCTGGGTTTAAAATGTGTATGAAGCATCCGTGTTCTCACAAACATGGATGTAAACTGTAAATGCAACTTGACTGGTACATGGAGGCATACAGCTATGGGGTGGTAATTCTAATTTGACGGAGAGACATAGCCAGCACATACTGATACCCACTAATAAGCATAAATTGTTGTTTTACACTTTTTAATTAAAGCGAGCTTTAAAGGTGATAGTAGGTGGATTTTGTTACCTTCAGAGAGAGCCAGACTAGCTGTTTTCCCATGTTTCCAGTCTTTATGCGGAGCAAAGATACCCAGTTGCTGGCTGCAACTTCATAATGCACAGGTGCGAGAGTAGTGTCTGTCTCCTCTTTTTCTAACATAACTATCCTTTTAAATATTCAGGTAACAAATCATCACAGTATAATTGTAGCTTGTGTCAAGGAAAAGGCTCACCATGCCTCCAGCTTAAAGAGTGAACACAAGACTTGTTAAAGTGTGCTGATTAAATTGGGACATTACATTTTTTATTAATTAAAGAAGACAAAGGATATTAAGAGGTGGCAGAGGCATAGAGAGCATTATTTCAAATCATCTTTCCAGTGATACCACAGATCAGGAGAGAGGCTGCCTGTAAAGAGACTCAGAATAGTGGGAACATTGGAGATGAGGTTATGCTCAGGTGCTGAGTTGAGCATATACGGACAAGCACGCAGGACTCATTTTTCTCTCACCTCTGTGTCAAAATGGGCCTGAGCAAACAGAGGATGAGCCTGGCTGGAGGGAGAGCAGGGGAAGGCAAACAGTGGTCAGACGAGACTGGTGAAAGCCAGCAGGCATTCAGGAGCATTACTCACCGCAGCTCCGCGCTGACATCTCAGATCCTCCGCTGCCGGAGAGCACTGCCACCCCTGTTGACATCCTCAGGGTGTCGGTCCAGGGTTCAGGCTTAGAGGCACCTACAGTACATATGTATGGGAACTGCATTGAAGTCAGGAGGCCAGTACTTTACTGTTTATCTCACAATAATAGATACATGGAAGGATACCATTCAACTACGACTAAAAAAAAAAAATTACCTTGCTTTAGAACACATATAAATATTAAACAGTCTCAGAATGGTGTTCAACTATATGATAATTTAAAGTTATTTTTTAGGTTGTATGTTGAATCAAATTACTTTATATCATTTGCTGGAATTATTTTATCTACTATACTTATTTAATGAGTTAATGAGAAGGTATTAAAGGACAATACCAGTGTTTCAGCATCTTTTAGCTCATTATCTTCGTATTATGCATTGTTTGTTAATGTCAACTAAAGTGCTCACATATTATTTTAAGATGTTTTTCACAACATGAAGGCTGCCACATGGTGTCCAATTATTTTAATATGAGAATTTGGGAGTGGCCAGACTTTACAATGCCAAATTATAGGTACAATTAAAGCAGATGTTAATGGTAACATCACAGTTTTAGCAATTTAGTGTCTCATAAAGTGGATTTTCATACCCTATTGCAGTGTTACCCAACTTGTGGCGAGTGGGTAAAATCTGGCCTGCGATAGGTTGCTGGGTGACCGGCTGACCATCCTTTAATTCACAATGAAAATAAAATTATTCACACTGGGAATTTAGTTTTTCTTATCTTGAATGTGGACCACAGTGCATTAAAAAAAAACACATCAAAATCAAATTACAGTGCCAGGGGAGGATCCCCCAGATGCCCCAAAAGAGGTCCAGACTATTTTTTATATATTAATTACTTGTGTTTGTTCATTTACTGGCCCCTGACCTCCTGTCATTTTGCAAAAGTGGCCCCTGGGCAAAGCAAGTTTAGTACCCTTGCCCTCCTGGGTCAAATGAAAACCAGTGGTGGCCTGAAAGGTGACAATATCAAAATAAAAAATCAGGCACACAGCATGTTAAAAAAAATGGTTTGCAGTGAAGCAAAGTGATTAAATGGGGAGAAATATGCAATAATCACTTTTATGACTCTAGAAAAAGAAGCAAAGCAAAGTTTGAATGTATTCTCTGAAGTGTATTTGAGTTACACTTGCATTTCATCTGCCAAGAATTGGGGATCCACAGTATATAGCACCATATAGATCAATAACATTAATTCACAGTGCTGTAGGCCCATACCAGGAAGTGGCCTGGTGTGACAGTTAGCGCTGGGTGGGGTGTTGGAGGAGGAGAGAGAGGCGCCAAATGGGACACCAGGACTGTGGGAAATGACACTGGCTATGACACCTATGACTTTTACACCATGGTTACCTCAGCTCGTATACGAGGGGATGTCTCTTTTTCAATTACAAAATGATTAATGGACAAGGAAATGATAGATGAATGTAATATGTGCCACCCGCAGATGAAAGTCCCCACATTTGCAACCCTACAGCCTAACTTCATGAGGAGCTTCCAGAGCAAGATGCCTGATTTGGTAGGTCAGTCTAACGACTGTTGCCTCTGTCTGTTACAGTGTTTGGTAGCCTAGCACAGAACTCTGGAGGGAAACGCTCATGTTTACGACTTTCTCTCAATCACAGATTATCCCTGAGGTTCCTGAGAAGAGCAGGAAAGCAGAGATTTATTTGAGGCGGCTGAGACACATGTATGCTCTTTGTTTAACCAACATGGCTGTCTCCCAGAGGTTGGTAACTCAGCAAACAGGCAGAAACAAAAAAGTAATGATGCACTAACATAGATATTTTAACCCTTTTCTGTATGTTCTGTACATGAGTAACATTCAGACCCAGCAAGGGAGACAGGAGATCAGAAGCGTATTGAAGGAGTCTTTAAACTGACTGAGGTTTGTTTTTCTCTGCTTGCTGTGAACTCTGGTCCAGACTGCTGGACAGGGAGACAGACTCACTGTGCTGGCAGGAGGAGGGAGGCAACCAAGATTTGGTTAGTAACACAAGCTAGCCACAACACAACACAACACCGCAGAGCTCTATGGAAGTTAACACGTAGCTGTCACAATGCTATCTGACTTTAGCGTTTGTGTTTTTTTCCTTTGGAAGCTACCATAGCAACAGGTCACAGTGGATAAAATGACCAGAATACAGTAGTTATTTGTGAACATGACACTGCTGCACATGTCTAGATGTTTTTAATGTTCTTGTTCTTCCATAGATGCTTCCAAGCATTGAGTCCAAACAAGGGAAGACAGGCAAAACCAACCAGCCGCCTCCCTGCTCTCCGAAACAGCCGAAAGTTATCCAGAATGACCGTCTGTCATCTCCTTGGCATCTCAGCAGAACAACCTCAGCCAGGTGCATTAAAAAAACATCCTTAACATTTATTTAATTTGTTTGTTAGAGACAAAAGACTGATTATCACTTGTCACTGTGCATGTGTGGGTGTTTTCTTGGCAGCCACCAATGCTCTGAGACTCTGGTTTGGGACACAGCAGTGTGCTGCTGTAAAACACCTGATCCTTTATCTATTGAAGACGTGTGTCAACAAAAGCATGTAGAGGTAAAATGATCTGTCAGAGTGATAATTGTATAAAGATTGTAATGTTTATAAAATATTATTTTTTCTTCTCTCTTTAGGTAATTGACCGTGGGTTTAAGCTCTGGAGAAACTACACAGTAAACACAGATCACTGAAGATATTGCCATCTCTTTATGGGGAATATGTGCAGTTATTATTGTGTTGGTTATCTATAATATGCAGTTTGTGGATTCATTAATGTCTGTCAACTGTGAGAGATACTTTTTTCATTTTCTTTACATTACCACCATGTGTTTATTCCATGTCATACTGATTAGCTACAATTGTATACGTTTATACTGTAATATAACAATGCTACATGACATCTTCTTATAGGCAACATAGGCAGCAGCTGAGGGGCACCACCCAGAGGGTAGATTAAATAAAAAAAAGCTGTTGTGACATTCAAAAACATTAAACATAAGGGAAATGGTGGAGTGGAGTGTATGTGGAAAGCCTTAGAGAAAGTGAAAAGGTGATCCAGGACGAAACAAAAACGAGATGAAATTTGCAAATTTGCACAGACTGTATCGTTTTATTGTTTATTATTTGTTAATTATAAATGTTTTTTTAGCTAAGTTGTTTATTTTTGTTGATTTCTCATCAGCTCTTGTTCTTGTTTGTAGTTGTCGTTGCCAAGGGCACCAAATGTGCCAGGACCGGCTCTGGTTAAATTATTTGTGAAAAGTCTATATTAAATTCAGACTTTCCATGAAGTCCTAACACGTGTAGGTTTTGTGAAATAAAAGTTATTCTATAATAACATTAAATGATTTGAACTGTGATAAGAATTTGTTTGTGATGATGATGAAGCTTTACAGCCATTAGATTGTTCTAAAAAAAAAAGAAAAAAGTGTGCAATAGTTATTTAGGATGTGGTGGTTGCACTTGCACTTGAGTATTATTTTCTATCCAGTGTTTATTCATGTGGTCATTCATTTATTAATTACTGTATTAATGATATATGAAGAACTTCTTTCATCACCTATACTGTAATTGGCACAGTGTTCACCAGGACTGAAAATGTGCCAGGTTCCTTTACATGTCCTAAACTGCCTCACCAAATCTGGCCCAGCCAGAACAATGTGCTAACATTTAAAGCAATAGTTTTTAACCTAAAGATTGGGAAACATTTATTTTAAAAAGTCCAAGAAGTCTGGAGTGAAGTCTTGAGGGACTGGGGACCAGCCATGGTCAGCCCACAGTGCTTTGGTTTCTGCAGGTGTGTCTTTGATCTAAGTGTCAATGTTTACAGGTTGATGTAATAAAGTAGGTTAAACTGCTTTATTCAAAACGCTGTCATCCTGTGGATATGGCCGCTCCCAGCCAATCGGTGACAGGCCCGCAAAGATCAAAGAGGAGATGAGCCAACCATCTCTGCTCCAAACACCCATCCCGAGATGGAGCTTCTCTTTGGCCTATATATTTGGGAGCTTCATGACGTCCTGAGAAAACTACTTGTCTTTGTGGAGTTACAAGTAGAGGATTATCTGTGGTAGATAGGTCTTTTCAAGAAGACCTGGCGTTACAATTTTTCCGTCCTGGAGCTGTTGGACAGGATGGCCACGGGCGCCGGAGAGTGTCCAGGGAAGGTTGGTCAGCACCGGGTGGACCACCTACTCAGTGCGGTGGAGAGTGAGCTGCAGGCCGGCAGCGAGAAGGGAGACCCCACGGAGAAGGAATTGAGAGTGTCCCTGGATGAGAACGAGCTTTGGCAGAAATTTAAGGATCTTACAAATGAAATGATAGTGACAAAGAATGGCAGGTGAGCTTTAATGCAAACACACAGTGCGCAATATCAGGTAAAATACAACACTTTTATATATAATATTAAATATGTTTGTCATTCCTTTAATCAAGGCGGATGTTCCCGGTGCTGAAAGTGAACGTGTCTGGTTTAGACCCGAACGCCATGTATTCTTTTTTGCTGGACTTCGTATCTGCGGACAATCACAGGTGGAAATACGTGAACGGGGAGTGGGTACCTGGGGGCAAACCTGAACCTCAAACTCCAAGCTGCGTGTACATCCACCCGGACTCTCCAAACTTCGGGGCACACTGGATGAAAGCCCCCGTCTCTTTCAGTAAAGTCAAACTCACCAATAAACTCAACGGAGGGGGCCAGGTAGGCAGAGGAGAAGAGGTTCGATATTACTATTTTTATCTTTTCTTTAGATAAAAACAGATCACTCTCTTCCACGTGCTTTTCCAAATTAAAGTATTTAATTTATAGAATGAAATTCATGTGAAATTTTTGATTATAACTATGTATTGTCATCTGTTGTTGTTCAGATAATGCTAAATTCCTTACACAAGTACGAGCCACGCATCCACATAGTGCGGGTTGGAGGCCCGAGGAGGATGATCACTAGCCACTCTTTCCCGGAGACACAGTTCATCGCAGTAACAGCATATCAGAACGAAGAGGTTGGCATTTTTAAAAATAAATATTTGATTAATTACTAATATTGAAAAAAAAAAAAAACAGAAAAAAAAACAACGCTTCTTGTACGCGCGTAAAATACGCACATTTTACGCGCGTACAAGAAGCGTTGTTTTTTTTCTGTTTTTTTTTTTTTTTACGCACAGCATTTAGTTTTTCTTTTGTGATTTTTATCGGTGGAAAACCAAAATTTTAACATTTCTTCGCCTTTAATGTTTGGATTTTAGATAACTGCTCTTAAAATAAAGCACAACCCCTTTGCCAAGGCCTTCCTAGATGCAAAGGAGAGGTAAGAATCCACATTGTTGACACATTTTTTAAATTTTATTTGTGTTTATTTGTGTAAAAGTTATGCCAAGTATTGTCAATCTTTTTTTTTCAGGAGTGATCACAAAGATATAAGAGAAGATGCCAATGAAAACCAGCAGTCATCTTACTCTCAGTGTAAGCACTGCACTGTTTTTTTCATGTATCCTTCTGATTTCATGTCACACTTTGTCAGCTATATGGTGCTCATATAATTTCATTATGTCTCTTCTCATCCGTGGGACCAGTAGGTGGTTGGTTTATTCCAGGCTCAAGCTCTCTTTGCCCTCCCGCCAGTCCTCACAGCCAATTTGGGAGTCCCATCTCCCTCTCACCATCTCATGGCTGTGAGCGTTACTCCACCCTGAGGAACCACCGCTCTGCCCCCTACACCAGTCCCTACACCCATCGGACCAACTCTCCCAGTGAGTGTTCCTCTCCACCCTTTACCGTCACACATCCAGGAATTACACCACTTCCTCCTCGGCTATTAACAAGAAACTCAAACAAATGTTGCTGAGCTTGGAATGTTTTGCATTCCTCTGGCTTTTGTGTGAGTGGAGCCACAGAGCTGTAAATGGTTGGGCTTCAGACGGGGAATGTATGGAGGGAATATTCACACCTTTAACTGTCACATGATATCACAGGGACAGGGAGTCTTGAATCAAACTGAGAGGGCAACATGTTTAGTGATAACATGATTTCTTACAAATTAATTTAAAACCACCAGTCCCCTGTTCACCTACTGAACCCCAGTGCTTCTCTTTGTGTTGTAGTCGGTTACTCCGATAACTCCTCAGCCTGTCTGTCGATGCTCTCAAGCCACGATAACTGGTCCAGTCTACAGATGCCAACACACTCCAGCATGATGCCCATGGCCCACAATTCCACCTCTGGCACCAACTCTAGGTTTGTGTAGTTCCTCTTCATTTATATTGCACCAACTGAACACATCACAATACAACTCACAAACACAAAGAAGATGTAGACAGAGAGAAGAACTAAATCGCAAAAAACACGGATCAGGAACAAGGGAACTGTAAAAAGTTGCAGGTAGACACTCAAGTATCACAGGTGCAAATTAAACATACAACTAGTAAGATAATCATGCACACAGTAAACTCAATAATTAGAGGGAGAAAAAGAAAACAAAATATGAAAGTAATCTTTGAATCTTTGAACTATATTGGTCAAGTCATTTTATGCATTTTTCATTTTAAAGGAACGTTGAAAAAGATTGCTTGAAAATGAAGGCTATTCAGTAGCTACATCTTTTAGTACTCTGCTTGTGTCAAAATAGTTTTGCCATAAGTAAAAAAGTAGAATATCATTAGCTGACGTTGGAAAACAAAAGCATAAAGACAGACTGAGATGGTCACAACATGTCAAAGTCTCCTGACAAGTTTAAAACAGATCAAACAGTGTTACATCATCTTTTTTCTGCTCTGACCTCCTCCATGAGGCAAAGAAAATCTTAACTTTTTCTCTACAGAGGACCATAAGAATTTTTTTGCTGTCAATTTCAAGATCCTTAATAGAGCACAAATCAACGTATTGACTGAAATGTGTATTGCTTTGAAATTCTTCACCTTTATGTATATGTTCTAACTTAAATTTGGCTTTCCATTTTGTCTTTATCACTGCACTTTATGAGAACAGTGTCTTAAAACTATCTATCTAATGTACTCTACTCATTCTTCTCACAAAAAAATCATTTTTGAACACATTCATGAACTTCTGCATGGGTATCACTTCTAAAACTTGCTAAGAAGAGCTGAGTAAGAAGTTTTCTCTCCATGTCTCTGTACAGTCAGTACACCAGCCTGTGGTCTGTGAGTAACTCGCCCCTGACTCCTGTGTCCCAGAATGGGGGGATAAACAACAGCTTGAGCTCACAGTTCCTTCGAGGGTCGGGCAGCCACTACACCAGCCTGTCTCACTCAGCCACAGTGCCCTCCTCTGGCTCTCCCATGTACGACAGCGGCACAGCAGCAGAAGTGCATGACACAGCTCAGTATGACACTTCTCCACACGGGCGACTACCTTCAGCCTGGACTCCTGTGACTCCTCCGTCCCTCTGATGGAGGCGTGTCTGCATGCGTGGAGAGAAGGAGGATGTGTGCAGGATGTTTGATCTGCTGTGACCTAAGGGAAGAATCAACCCAAAATGAAACAGGTTTTATTTGTTTCCAAGTAAGTTTTTACAGGCAAAAGACTGTTTTCAATTTTGTGGTACTTTAATTAATTAAGAATGGTACTAATGAGAAGCTACAGAGACTTCAAGTTCTTGAAGTAGCCCTTTTAAAATGTGGTTTTGTCTCAAGAAGTCACCCTCAGTTTCAAACCCCCCAAAACAACAAAATGAATACTTTACTTTTATTATTGGTTGACTTTTCCCTTTTGTTCAGCAAATGTTTTTTTCAGCATAGCAGGGAAAACATATATTTTAATGTTTGTGAGCCCAAATCCATTTTAACCTGCTTATATTAAGCACAGCTCCATGATATTCACAGCAGTAAGTAAAAACAGTGTACAGATGAAAAATATTAAATGATGTGAATGAGAGTTTTTGAGGTTCACCATGTATATACATAAATGATGCTTTTTGTACTGCAATGTCCCTGTTTGAGATATTATGTTCCAGATTATTTTAAAAAATAAATGAAAAGATGGATTTAATGTCAATATTCTGCTATGCAGACGATAAACAACTTTCAATATCATTTAAAAAGAAACATTTTGAAGTTATCTACAAGACAATTAAAACTTGAATGTGCTTTACTTGCTGTTGTTCAGGGCTTTATGTTGCTGTTTAAGGGTCCATACACATGCTGTATCTTAAACCGCCTGGAAAACGCAAGATCAGGCGCTGGGTGCTACTCTTGTGCCTTTTATGCACCAGCTTTGAAGAGCATGGCGGCAGGTTGCATCTAAGGTTGCTGGGCAACCTTGACAAGCACTGTATTATAGCCTATTTACTGGAATATACGCTGTTTATAAGTGTGTAGGCCTGTCGTCCATGGGACAGATGTAGCTCTAGCAGCCCTGCACGAAAAGGAATCGACTTTTCAGTCACATGATATTTCCGTCCTCATCACGTGAGATGCGGTGCATGCTGTTGTGTTTCAAAAGCTGAACTCAGTTTATAGGTGCTCAGGAACACATGCATGCCATGGCAGCATTGCTCTGGCATTTGCTCATGCCTGCTGCATGTCTACGTTGAAAACAATGAATTTGAGGGCACAAAAAATGTGGCATGTGTACAGCCCTTAAAATTCATCCATAATGAGAAATTACACTGAAGTATCACTCATGATTTAAAAGTGCTGTATGGGGGTGTCGGTGCCTTAGTGGGTACAGCAGGCACCCCATATACAAGGCTGTTGCCAGAGCAGCCACAGGTTCGAATCCAGCCTGTGGCCCCCCCACACCCACCTCTCCTGTCCATTAAAGGCAAAAGAGCCCAAAAAAATATCTTTAAAATAAATAAATAAAAGTGCTGTGTGTAACTCTGGAAAAAGATAGCTGATTGTTGAGTCTCATTTCTGGTCATCAAATACCAACGCTTAGGGTTGGTGATGATGTGGTCCAATTACCACCCCAAAGCGTCTGTATTTGACGACCTGGGAATGACACTCAACAATCAGCTATCTTTATCCAGAGTTGCATACAGTGCCTTTAATTTACTGCTAAATAGGACACAGCCCGATTTCTGGCCCATTTATTTCATCCTTATATAGAGTATCTGGCTGTGGATGGACTGTCCTCAGTGGGCATTTACAGTATGAAATCTACACGGGTGGTTCACAAAGTCAGGTCCTGGGACATCCAGGGTTGTTTTAAATTAATAGAGGTCCTCAGCAACATAAGGGACAGTTTGATTTGAGTGTTTTTGGTTCCTTGGGAGGTAAAATTGTGTCAGTGGTCTAATTCCAGTCAGCTGAAGAAGAATTAATCAAATAAAGCATAATTAGAAAATGCACCATAAACTAAACTGAACTTGATTTTTTTCCAAAAACAACACACATCATAATATTTCCTACATGAAACATGAACAAGGAAACATTTTTTGGGTTGTTCAGTGTTTTTATTTGTCATTTTACTATTGGTTATTACAGTTTGGTTTTTAAATAGTGGCGGTGCCTTCAAAGTTGAGCTCATCCTCCTGCTCTCTTTCTGACAGTAGAGGAGTGGAGAAGCAGTATTTTTCACACACGGGTGAGGAATTACATCTGTGTACATCTGAAGGAGAGGGTTTGACTGCTGGGACTGTATAGACTGTGTGTGAATGTCGGGGTGAGAAACCCCAGAGATCAACACTCAACTTTAGCCCTCGCACTCTGTTTCCATTCACATCTCCCTGACACAAGGGCAGTCGGCTCCTGAAGGGTATTGGTGACACATGATCATCTCCTGTGTGATCTTGAGAGTGTTGTGAAAGTGCATTTACTCCAAAAGGGACCAACTTGTGTCATACTTTAACATACCCTTGATTAAACACTTTTGACAGGAGGACACCCTATACCTGCGTAGTTCCAGTGGTCCAGTAAAGCTAAATCGCACGTATCACATATTCAAATCAAGTTAACATTTCAATGGCTGTACTATTGATGCCATATGAGATAGTTTTTGCATTCCTGTAATTGTGTTCAAGGTTCACTTTTCAAATACATTGCATGGGACTATCACATGTGGATAGTCGTGGATGAATAGGATTAACAGTGGTTTAATTTGCAAAACAATTGACAACTTATTAAAATGACAGAACTTTGCTCTATTCTGTCCTCCTGTAAGTATGCACAGAGCTTTTTAGCACCATCCAGTCACAGTGCGAGCCCAGACATGCATTTTGTTAATTAGGAGAGAAAATGTATTAAGTCTTGTTAGTACTGGCAAGACATGAAAATGACCTCGGGACATACTATAGTGTGTTTTTCATATTTGACCCGCATTACTGCAGTGAAGCTTTTTACACATATTTTAAGATTTTCTACATAAGAATGAATATTTTTTTGCTTTTACTAAACTTATACTAACTAGTGACCAGCAACATATCCTAACTCAAAAATTTCTCCACCCTGCTACTGTATCTTTAGCTCTGAGGGTGAACTGCCCATTTTATGATGCTTTTCTAAGCAGAGTAACTACAGCTCTCACTTGGTTGGATTGTAACTGCATCGTTGAGTAAACTACCCAAAACTCACCTCTTTTGAATTCTGCAATATTAAATAAGAAGCTTCTATAGTTTTGGCCTCAGAGGTTATCCCAAGCTTGTTGTCACAGCAGAAAAGAATCATCAGTCATCAGTCGAGTCTACGGTTCCTGCTTCCTTCAGAATTATTGGCAACCCTAAACAACCATGTTGCTATATTGCTATAAGCTTAACTAGTGCTAAACTACACCTAAACATAGCTGTATTTGTAACAAACTTAAAGGGACCGTTAACCCCAAAATAAAAAACACAATTTTTTTTCTCTTACCTGTAGCACTATTTTTCAGTCTAGATTGTTTTGGTGTCAGTTGCCAAGTGTTGGAGATTCCGGCCGTAGAGATGTCTGCCTTCTCTCCAATACAATGGAACTAGATGGCACTCAGCTTGTGGTGCTCAAAGTACCAAAAAATACATTTGAAAAATTCAGACAGACCTTGTTGTGAGCAGATTCTTGTAGGAACTACACCCACCAACTGTATAACCACACAGAAGGAAGCGTACATCTACTCATGGACAAGAGACTCGTGTTTGTGACAGCATAAGATGTAAAGATTAATGGCGTCCTCCTTGGCTGAGATGTAACATCAGCTAGCTCGGTGGTGCTAGATGAGCTGGCAGTAGATGCACACTTCCTTCGGCACATTGAAACAGTTGGCTGGTGTAGTTCAATAGAAAGAAAACATGAAACTGCTCACAACAAGGTCTGTGGATTATCTTGAGCAACAGGGTCATGATTTCTGTGAAGAGACATTGCTGCTGAGTTTTTCTCAAATGTATTTTTTTGGCACTTTGAGCACCACAAGCCAAGTGCCATCTAGTTCCATTACATTCCAGAGAAGACACACATCTCTATTGCCAATTTCTCCAACACTCTGCAACTCTCACCAAAACAATCTAGATTAATTAACAGCACTACAGGCAAGAGGGAAAATATGTGTTTTTGATTATGGGGTGAACTGTCCTTTTAAATGGGGGCTGTACAAAGCTTGGGACAAAGTGCTGCAATAGAAGGTTCACTTCAAGGCAAGATAGTTTCAGACCAGTTTCCCATCTTTGCAGTAATTGCTCCACCCATAAGTCCTCTGGTTCACAAACATCATCTCTAAAGATATTTACAGTAAACTGGATGAAATGCACAAAAAAATTCACATACATTGTGGACAGCTTCTAATTTGCTGTTAACTGCTGCCTCCACAGACAATACACACTGCCACAGGAAGGACATCAAGCAAAATATATCCATGTGCTGTTCTCTAGTGCTGCTGATGGACCTTACATGACCTCAGATGGTGATGATCAGGTCCAGTATGTTCATAGAGAAGTGAATAACTCAGGTTTCAGGTGATCCCGCTCCAAACTGTTGGCAGCACATTATGATATGAAGTCTTCTTCCTGTTTGTAGACTCAGTGATGAAGCCCACCAGGATGCTGTCATACTGATATTAAACAGCTTCACCAACAGGTAGAAATGGGTGTGTTTTTTTTTTCTTCTAAAAATAGATCCTTGACTGCATGACAGGAAGTCATATAACCCAAAGAATCAGATGTCAGATGTTGGCTGTATGCTTGGATTCACACGCATTAAGTTAGCATCTTGTAAAGAAGTGCATGTATTTCATCAGACCTTCCTGATGTTCTGCCACTGAACAGGCTGTGGATGAACTTTTCAGTAGATTGCGAAATAACATGCATATTGGCTCCAAATGTCGCCCTCAAGCTCAGGGCAGCATTCCAAGCCCAGTTTGGTGACCCAGCTGGTCATAAAGCACAGAACAAGCATTGTCCTACAAAATGTCAGTGTATATGTATGAATTTATTCACCATTTATGCAAAGGGAGATTTTTTGTGTGAAAATATGACCTTTTGTCTCAACTTTTGTATTCTTTTAGTTCGCATCTGAACATTATAAATCTGCATATAGGTGATTTTTAGGTGAGCAGCAGAACACGCTTACTTACAGAGGAAACTCAGCATGAATATGTGGAGATATGGTATTTGAATATGATTCAAAGCGCAGAGCAGCTGAACTGAGAAAGTGTAAAGAAAGGCATCACGGCTGAAGTGAAGCGAGGCCGGTCAACAGGCACGAGAGCCCATTCAGCCCAGAAGATCAAGGTCAGTGTATAAGGACATCATGACATCCTCCCCCTTGTACAAGCAGCAACCACAGACTGGCAGGAAGGAACAGACATCTAATCCGCTCAGTCGAATACACAACTGACTGCTTCGCTGATGCCTCTGAGCATCTCACTGTCACGCCCCTGGATGAAATGGTCTCTGTCCGGTTAATGTGTCACCATGGGCGCATACTATTGTGTGCGGCAGGGCAGATTGTGTACAAACTGAGTATAAATATATATCAATGTAACACTGATAAGATCACACCATAAACTAGGGACTACTTTCTTAATTTTTGTGCAGATTCATGTACACAAACACCATTTATTTTGGTGTTTTATACATAAATATAAGTAGGTTTTTTACAGGTGTGTGTCCAGCTGCAGAAGGAGAATTGAAGGAAAAAGTATCATCATCATA